CCCACCTCCACAGCAAGCTGCACTGCATGAGGAACTACATCCACATGAACCTCTTCGCCTCCTTCATCCTGAAGGGCGTCTCCGTGCTGGTCATCGACGCCCTGCTCAAGACCCACTACAGCGACAAGATCGATGACTACAACGTGCACATCTGGCTGAGCGACGAGGTGAGCTGCAGGGCCGGTGGGGCTGGGGGCACGGGTGGCGCGGCAGCCCTGACTCCTGCCCGCAGGCGGCCGCGGGCTGCCGGGCAGCCACGGTCTTCATGCAGTACGGCATCGTGGCCAACTACTGCTGGCTGCTGGTGGAGGGCATCTACCTGCACAACCTCCTGGTGGTGGCCGTCTTCTCCGAGAGGAGCTACTTCACCCTCTACCTGTGCATCGGTTGGGGTGAGTGCGGGCGGGCTGGCTCCCCGTCCCCGTCCTCCGACCCCAACCTTGACCCCGCTGTGCCTCACCTGCCCCCTGCCCACCTCCCTCCAGGGGCGCCTGTGCTGTTCCTCATCCCCTGGGTCATCGTGAAGTTCCTCTACGAAAACATCCAGTGAGTGTCAACCCCTGCAGCAGGTCGGTGCCTGCGGGTGTGCAGGGCACGGGTGGGTGCGCATGGGACACATTGAGGGATGGTGGGGATGGTATGCAGGGCACGGGTGGGTGCGCGTGGGACACATTGAGGGATGGTGGGGATGGTGTGACAGCCCCAGAGAGGCTCCACGCCATTGCCCCGTGCAAGGAGCCAGGTGCTGGTCTGTGGCCCTCACTCAGCTGGGGCTGCTGACACCACGCCGGGCTCTAGCAGCCACCCGGTTGAGGGTCTACCCGGCAGTCCCCGTCCCCACCCTCTGCAGGTGCTGGACCACCAACAACAACATGGGTTTCTGGTGGATCCTTCGCTTCCCCGTGTTCCTGGCCATCCTGGTGAGTCCGGGGCTGTGGCTCTGCCCACCGCAGCCCTTTCCTCAGCGTCCGCGAGGGCCCCGAGCCTGCTGAGAAAGGGGCTGCCCTGGACAGGGGACAGAGCTGCCCTGCCTGCCCCTGCCCTGCCCAGGCCTGCCCCTCATGGCTCACTCTGCTCCATTGCAGATCAACTTCTTCATCTTCATCCGCATCATCCAGATCCTCGTCTCCAAGCTCCGCGCACACCAGATGCGCTACACCGACTACAAGTTCAGGTGGGTGGTGGGCACAGCCCTGGCCCCGCATGCCCATGGGTGCATACACTGGTGCGTGTGCGTGTGCGCCCACCCCGCGACTCCGGTGTTGACGGGCCCCTCTCCACACAGGCTGGCCAAGTCCACGCTGACGCTGATCCCACTGCTGGGCATCCACGAGGTGGTCTTCGCCTTCGTCACGGATGAGCATGCCCAGGGCACCCTGCGCTATGTCAAGCTCTTCTTTGACCTCTTCCTGAGCTCCTTCCAGGTGAGCCCAGTCCCACACAGGACGGGCCCTCCGCAAGGACCCTCCGTCTCGGCAGGGACCAGATCAGGGTTGGGGTTGGAGTCCAGCTGCACGCCTCTCATGCCTCTCCCTCCTCTACCCAGGGGATGCTGGTGGCCATCCTCTACTGCTTCGTCAACAAGGAGGTGAGTGGGACAGCATGGGAGCTGGCAGCCGGGGGGCCTCATGCAGCCGGCAGGCACAGGGCCACGCTGACGGCAGCTGCTCGCAGGTGCAGGCAGAGCTGCTGAAGAGGTGGCAGCGTTGGAAGCTGGGGAAGGACCTGGCGGAGGAGTACAAGCACACCTACAGCCACGCGCCCAGTGCCCGCAACGGTGCCGGCAGCGCCTGCGAGAAGCATCAGCTGGTGAGTGGCTGTGCCAACGGGCTGGGGCGCAGCCCAGCCGCCACGCGCCCCGGCACCCACTACCTCGAGAGGACCAGCCGCAGCACCACTGAGCACCTCGCCCTGGGGGACCGGCACCACTGCTACGAGTTCCCCGAGACCACAGCCGAGAGCCACTTCTGAGCCTGCAGCCAGAGCAGGAGGGCTGTGCCGGCCCTGCTGCCGCAGGCTGAGCCAGCTGGGGCGGCCGCTGCCTCCCTCCCCAGCCCCATCCTCCTCCGGGCATTGCACAGGCTGTGCAGGACCCTGCCCACCCTGGTGAGGACGCTGCACCGTGCCAGATGTGCACGGGACGATGGACGCAGCTGGGCCAGCTGCAGGTGAGGAACGGCGAGCGGGACCTGGACCTCTGTGGGGATAGGATCTGTGGGGCGGGGGGGATCTGTGTGTGGGGTGGGGGGGTCATCCTGTGGTGCTGCCCTTGTGCACCTTCGAGACCCTTTGCGCAGTGCTGTAATTTATCTGTCGTAACTGTAAATAGGTGTGGGCCCATGCCGGGCTGCAGGGCCAGCTCCGCGTGCGCCTCTCTGTCCAGAACGGGTGTCCGGGGGGTGGGGCAGACCGTGCCCGCGAGCACCAACGGGTGATGGCCACAGCCATGGAGGGGGAGCTGGGCCGCCTGGCATGGATGGGCTGCACCAGAAGACAGCCCCGCTGCCTGCCCCACAGCCTCGCTGCTTGCCCTGCTGCCTGCCCACAGGTGAGCGAGGCAGACGTGAGGCAGCCGCCGCTGCAGCGCTGCCGGACAGGGCTCCAGCTCCCCGCCAGCACGCGCTCTCCTCTGGCTGCTAATTGGCTCTGTCCTCTCACTGCCAGGAGCCCTTAATTAAATCATTTGGCTCTGCCCACTGGCACCCCCTCTCTCCTGGGAGCCGGCCCAGGCCATGGGCCATGCAGCAGCCGCCGGCAGCGCTGAGCACCGTGAGCAGTGCCATGGGGTGCGGGGCTGTGGGTCTCCCTGTGCCGGCAGACCGGGCTGGCTGTCCGTGGCTGGGAGGGAGCGCAGCAGGCCGGCACCGTAAGAGGCTTGTGCCATGCACATGAGCGCTAAGCCCGGATGCCAAGGCTTTGGGCACCACAATCGCCTGGTGTGCTGGGATTAGCCAGGTGCACCTCCCCGGCCGGGGGGCACCCTGCCCGATGGGTGGTGGCGGGACAGACAGCTGGCCCTGCCACGACCCCCTGCCGCCCCATGGGCCCTGGGCACGGGGCACTGCCCGTCACCCACCGCAGCAAGCCCTGCCTGGCCCCAGGCAGATGACAGTCCCCGGCTGTCCAGACCCCACGCGCAGCCCGGCACAGGGGATGTGATGAGCAGGGCGAGCGCTTGGAGCCGTGCTCCGGCAGCCACCGGTAGCCACACGCAGTAAACGGCAGCGCTGGGCGGGCGGTCGCCCCCCCGCCAAATCCCATCCTGTCCCAGCATCGTCCGCACTGCCACAGCCACGGCCCTGTTGGCCGGCACGAGGGACGGTGGGAGCCACGCCGGCTGCCCGGGGGGGTGGCGGGGGGTGGAGATCACAGACTGCTGCAAGGGCAGAGGCGGCAGTGGGGCTGGCTGCGGCATGGGGAGAGCATGCCCACAGCGCCCGGCTGCGCGGCTCTTGGCTTGG